TTATAAGTTTACTTTTTTCTGCTAAAATCGTATATATGCGATATGTAAAATATAAACCCTCAATTGATATTCTGCGCGTGTTCCTGTTCGCTTGTCATTCTTGTTTTCCACCGCATGGTCGTGCATGTAAAAGCTACCTAAATTGGAGATTTCGGACAATAAATCCACCAAATAATGGCCGTAGCCTTCCGCTCTAGTGGCTCACATAGCTAGATTGTAACGCTAACAGGTTACAATATGCGGAAATGAGAGAAAAGAGAAAAAGAGGAGGTTAGATGGTATAACAATCATGGTATCAAAATGAAAGTACACATGGCGTAGCAAAGGGTTGGAGAAAAAAGTGAACGTGATGATGAGGGATATGAGGGCTTTGTGGAAGGAACGGAGGAGGGCAGTGTGAAAAGAAAAAAAAGGTAAAAAAAGAAATCAATAAAGTTAGACAGCGAGACAGACAGGCAGGCAGACAGACAGACAGACAGACAGACAGAGACAGACAGACAGACAGACAGACAGACAGACAGAGACAGCAGACAGACGACAGACAGACAGACGACAGACACGAGAGACAGACAGACAGACGGAAAGACAGACAGACAGAATGAAAGGGTGAGTAAAGCACTCATTCTGCGCTTGCTATATGCGGTGGCCCTTGTTCGGCAGCCCCACTTTTTATGGGCGTAGATGTGCCATATCATATGGTAGCTCCCCATAAGGCGCTGAAGATTGCCTACGTGAATGTACTTGCGTTGAATGGCAGATGATCCGACTAGCCAGATGCCGACGAGACAATTCAGCGTGTACTGCAGCAAAACCAGTCACACCAATCACAAGGTATACTTGAACGTGACGCAGATTGAACGCTGGTTTCATTAGAGTGCATTGTGATTCCTGCAACTTCATTGGCATGTGCGCGTCTTTTCTCTTATGCAGATTGTGGGGCGACACAAAGATGGTGTCGATTGTCACCCGGACACCTCGTTTGACTGCCGTTGCTTAGCTGGTGGAAAAAAACGTACTAATCAGGTCAGTGACATTATGAAACAGAACAAAAGGTTATCACAAAAAAAGAAAGCAGCACAGTATGCGTGAACTCTCAAAAATACAGTTTCTTTTTTTAAACTTCAAATGTGTCAGTGCAACACTTTTTTTGCTTATTTTGATTGTGCTGATTTTGGCGCCCCTTCATCGCGTGATCACACCAAGTAACATCTCCTTACCTAGAATAAACTGGTGGTGTTTTTCGCCTTCATAGCCTATTTCATCTTAGACTTTCCGCAACTGTTATCACTTACATTAACTTGTGCTTTTGTAGCGTCCTGGGGTGCTATTCAGGATTGGCCGAGTTTCGCGAAACTCAGGAACCTGCCCAGCTCTGGTGATGCTTCTTTATGAACGAGCCAACAGTCAAATGCACCCCTAAGCGTTTCGTATCATTGGTTGGGATGCAACCAGTCATCGCGTCAAGGGTGGTGTACCATGTTGGGCAGTGTTTTCAAACAATAGGCATTTTGTTTTAATTTTTTGTCATTCCACTGAGTGCAGAGGTGCACCTATTCAATTGTCTGAAACGTTTCGTAATGACATTTTTAGTCGGAACGGGGTGTTTATATTTATTTGAAGCTTCTAATGCTTGCACCGAGTTTGTTTAGAATAATCAGTACGGTGGCCTCTGAGATTAGTACCGATCGAGCGTCTTGGTCAGTCTACATACTCTATCTAGCGCGTTGCTCGGCCGGTTCACGTCCTTTTTTTGTCATCGTCCGCCAGCACCCGAGCACGTGCGGCCAGGTAATTAGCTACTTGGCTGGATGGTATATTGGCTAGTTTTTCCAGCACGTGCTATGAACAAGCTAAATACGATGAGTCATGATAAGGCTCAGGCAAGGGCGCAACCAGGCGGTTGGTGTACCTGGCGCCCCCCCCCCCCTCTCTATTCCATTTTATTTCGTCATGGCATAGAGAGCAAAGAAAATTACCAATTAAAGGAAGTGGCTTTCCCGAAATAAAAAATAGGCCTCCCCCCATCCCCCCCCCCCCCCGAAAAGAATTTCTGTCTATGCGTGTGGGCCTATGTAATTACACTACAACTTAGATGAACATGCTAGTGACGCCATGTAAAGCTATGACCGGGCCAACTAAAGCATGAGAGTTGATGAGCTAGCTAAACAGTGCTAATTAACGCGACGTTAATTATGAGCACTCTAAATAAAACCTTGCTAATTGGCCGTTAATATTATGAAAATTAGTATCGTGTTAATGAGCATTACGTCTAATAGCTCCATACTCATCATGGCCTTGCTGATTGAGCCCCACATAATTGCCCTTTATTGAAACCTTATCAATGAAGACAATACGTACTGCTCCGTGTGATGGCTGGTAGACTTCAGTCAATCAGTACAATCAAAATTTGGTCAGAGCTGATACTCATTTCGAAGCCGACCAAGCACCTGAGTAGACGACCAAACTAAGAAGCTGCAAGAACTAAGCCAAGTTATACTGAGGTCGTCTCTCTCCAGCCTCGCACAAGTGTTGCAATCTCACCAAGGTATTTTACATGCACAGAAGCACCCACTTAGCGTTCACGGCATCAAACGCTTGACAGTCACACCGGTACCATGACAGTCACGAGTTCAGCTGAGGCCATCTCAGAATCAACGAGGTTGTATCCGAGTTCAGGCGTCAATCACTTTAATTGACAGACACCCGCGGGATAGATAAGGTACGCCCACCACGTTTGCTCTCGCCGAGAAGCAGTACTCACGTAGAGTGGCACGATTAATCTATAGGCTTTATTGCGCAGACTACGCGCACGCTCACGCAGAAGTGAAACATGCATGATATCACCACGCGGCTACGATGTCTCGCATTCAATTTCACCGTACTCGACTTATACAATCACACCTGCGTTGCCGCCATGATGCGATCGATCATGCCTAGAGACAACCTGTTTCTATATTTATCTGCAATATTTGATAGAATTGAAAGGAGCAGCACGAGAGTGCTGCGTGTGCACACTTGCCGCCTCTGAGGGTGGAACTTTCTATGCTGCAGATGGAACGAAAGAACCTGTGCGAAGAGGACATACGCCCAAAACCGCCTGTAGGAGGCGCGTGTTGAGTTGGTAAAAAGATTGCACTAGAATCACGCTGACGTCGCTACACCATAGAGTAACATAAAAGTATAAGTAGTCATTCGGGCAAAAAGCAGCTTAGCTATGCAGCTTCACCCCAACCGTAAGATGGAAATACATCACTCATTGCTTCAAGGAAACACACGTGCTGGTTATTTACTACAGAACATTTTCTGGACCATTAAACGTGTACGTGCTTAGAGTATGTGATAGCGGCATCATTCCATCTATCGTCTGCGATTGTGCGGTGCAATAACGTCGGACTGGAATCAGGCATGAATCGAAGGCGAGAGAAGCGCACATGGCATCAACGCGATGGCGACGTTGTCACGCTTCTTGTTCATGAGCATTTACGGCAATGAAAAAGCAGCAGCAGAGAGATGCCATAAATAGAGTGTGATAACGTACCGGGCGCGCGGCATTGCTTTCGCTTGTTTTGTCTTCCTCTTAGCTTGCCTGCTGCTAAAAAGAACGCCATCAATACTATGTTATGTGCGTATTGCATTTGTCATTGAAGTCTTAAGCTAACGTTTCTGGCATTGTGCTGTTCGGCGCAGAGAACTTTTTTTGTGCTCTTCACTTCGCGTGGTATGTTCACACGAAATAAAACTGTTTGAAGTGCTGCGCAGCACGTTTGCGCGAAAATTCCTTCTTGGCTGAAGAAATTCAGTTGCCACTCGCGTTGTTAGGTTTTATTTGTACCGCTAAATGGATTTGAGTTTTCTACATCAGTGAGACTTTTTGAAAAGTGCAGCTATGCTGAATATCGTTATCTGTGCCATTCGCAAAGTGCTTGAAGCCCCAACGAGCGCATTAAGAGACAAGTGGTGAATCTAGACAGATGTTTGCATGCTAAAGCTAGGACGGAATCTTTTGGTAAACACGTCTGCCTCATTCACGGCTTGCATGACACATGAAATTGTCTTGTTTTACAGCAAGATCTGTCATAGTGACTATAAGTCATAGTGAGTTTAAATATGCTTAGTAATGCACAGCACAATGTTAGAACAAGAGACTATGATCAATGTGGGATGAATACAGTCAGTCATCTGAAACATGTATTGTGCAAATTGTTGCCTAAATAAGAGATCTACTCTTGTTGGCAAACACTGTGACGTTGGCAAACACCGTGATGTTTGTAACAACATGATTAAGAAACTTAAATTTGAAGAGAACCACTCGGCGCGTCGTGATGAGAGTAGAAAATGCAGAAGAATAGCAGTGATTCCTTAAATTCATAAGACATCGCATGAAATTAAGCAACTCACTAATATATATAAAGTCGATGTGCTTTTCTCAGCCAAAAGCAAACTTCAGTCTATTTGTTCACGCATGCGCAGAGAGTTTCCGCAATGTCGCATGAAACACAGCAAAAAGTTCGTGGACTGCGCAATGGGCGTGTTTTACATGACTCCTTTTAGCTGTGGTAAAGTGTACATTGGTCAGTCGGGAAGGTGTGTAAATGTTCGTCTCAGAGAGCACGATTCTTTTTTGAAATCCTTGGGTGCATCGCATCTCGCGGCTCATTGCAAAAAGTCCGGTTGTTATCCTCTTTTACACGATACTGAAGTGGTTTTTCGATCTAACAATCAATTAACTCGTGAGTTGACAGAAGCTTTTCATATAAAAAAAAGGGGAACAATGCGTCAGCCAGCCTTCAGTTTTGCTGCATAATAAAGAGTTTGCTTTTCTAGATTATGTTCCGAGATAATCTTATACCCTGTGTTCTCGATGTGCCACGGGTGTACATTTTTGCCTGCACACGCATGCGTTGTTTTTTGATTGCCTGTTTATATATTCTTCCCTTTCTAATAAAGAGTTTAGTTGGGAGAAAGCGCTTGTCCTCTTTTCCTTTCTGTTTATTTGTGCGCTAGAACTGACTGGTATACCATGCATATCCAACTAGCCCAACTTTCGATTCTAGTTCTGTGAAGTCACTTCGAGCACCGCTCCCACCTTTCCCTATCTCGATGCAGGGGCTGGTTGGCAAGAACGTTCCGCCGGCAAGAACTTTCTGCATAGCAGGGCTGCGTGTATCTGCATTCCTTTTCGGTGAATTTTCGGTGAAATTTCGGTGAATTGTTCTTTTTTTAAAGCCACTAAAAGGAAGGGTGTCTGCCTATAATGCAGGATTCTGTTATGTTAAGAGGCGGTAATTCGCTCGTCGTAGGTGACGGCCATTACAAACAAACAAAAAAAAATGTTCCACCTCGAAAGCGAACGTTCTTTATGTTGACGGTGGCAGATGGTTTGAGAAATATTGGCATGGTATGGATTTAAACGTACTCAATTTTCATGGCGAAATGTGCACTGTTTTTTGAATGAGGCACAGCATTCGCTGCACCAAGGTTTTAATGCTGCTGTGCGATAGGTTACGGGCAAGATTACTACTCACATCGCAAAATTCTAAACGAAGATGAATGAGAAAAAGAAAGAAAAAAACAAAACCCTTTTTGTCAAGCGTTAGGCTGAAGTGAACAATTTCTTGTGAAAATCCAAACGAAGTTGTGGGTGACGTTTCTTATAGCGCACTGAAATTTATGCGATTTTAAACTCTATAGCTTACTTATATGCATAATCGTTTGCGCAGCGACATCGATGCATCTAACACCTACAACGTATTTGCATTTTTACATTGCTTTCTAAGACCTAACACACAAACTTGTAGGGTGCATCGTCACTTCAGGAATATCGAGCGGTAAAGGCACTAAGTATATGTAAAACAAGAATCTCTGCTTATTATATGAAGACTTATGATGCCTCCGACAAAACGAGTTTACCTTTATTGGGTTTACGTACTCGTCAGGGCGAGACATGCATGCAGCTTCAGCAATGGTGTCTTTCAACCTGGTGATCATGCAATTTTTTTCTGCACACAGCGCTAACACTGACATGTACCCACTTAAAGATGATCGCATCAAGTATATATTTACCTTGACTAAAATGTCGAATCAAGTTTTTTTGGCAACCGGTCGCTGCCCCGAGTGCTAATGTCTTCGCAAACAAGACACATTGTTATTCACACTGCACACATCACGCAAAATATTCTCAGTTGGTGAACCAATAATCTCGATGCCTTTCAATGCACACTGCATGCCGCAATCAAAAGTGCAAAATTTTTAAGACAATGCCGGTGTTCCTCGGACAGGCCGTCACGTGTGTTCACTTCTTCAAGATAGACAGCCAGCGTGGCAAATAGTTTATCATCACACTGCTGGATCTTTCCTGACATACTACAGTTAATATCTCCATGACAACGGGAAGTGTAAGCTTTGAAAAAGAAAAAAAAAACTTGCCCCAAACACAGCATGACAACCGCGCTGAGCCACCAGTGGGAGAGCTTTGCCAACCACGCCTTTTACGTGCGCCAGTGACACCACGCTGTGATGTACTCCGGTAGAGGCCTATCACTGCATACCTCACGTGAATGATGGTCCAGTTAGAAAAAGCAGGCATTGTTATTAACATTCCTTGTTCATTTCTAACTAGACCTACATTTGCATGAGCTATCTGCCTGATATTTCTCAGGCGAACTTTTGTGCAAATAATTATACAGTTGGCAGTCTGTCCTTATCCCACCTTGTTCTTATTGATGTCTTTAGTTGTTACTTTGCACTGTTCACTACTGCTCCTCCATAAAAACTAGCCCAGCTTGCCGCTGTTTTAAACAAAATGCAGTTGGCAAGTGCAATAGTGTTCATAATACCAAATGCTTTCTCTTTCAAATTCGGTTAGTTGCCTTCATATCAGTTCATTACAAGTAATCATTGAATAAACATGAACCGTGTTATTTCACCTAATGCTCACAACTCAAAGTAGCTTCCGCTTTTTTAGGATCTTCACAGTATTTGGTGGTCAAAGAAGTATCAATGCCATATCCTTCATTTGTCGGCCTACTCATCACTTTATTATTGAGAACTAACGGACGACATTACCCAGGAAAATATAAGGGATGGTAAAAGAAGTAATTTTAGCACAATTGTCAAAAAAGTGGACATCATAATAACTTGTTGCCAGCTGGGACTTGCCGGCGACAAGTTATCTTTTCGTTTGCTTTTTTTGACAATTACATTACAACTACTTTTGATAAACTCTCCTGTAGTTAGATTGGCATCATTGCCCGTTAGTTCTCATTATGATGTGTTCAGCAAAGACAACAAGCCTGTAAACTTAGACTTATTCTCTTTACTCAATAATCTGAAACAGTGAATCCCATTCATCTAAACAGTGTGGCTCTTTCCCTTTTTAATCAGTTGTGCGTGTGTGTTCGAGGACGTGTGTCAAGGTGGAAAGGCACACCATTTCCACCTCATGTTACCTGCAGATTTGCTCAGAACTAACAGACAATGCTGGCAAGAAAGTATAGGGGATAATATTAGAAATTATTATAATGTAATTGTCAAGAAAAAAAAGTCGAAGAAAAGATAACTTGCCGTGGGCAGGGAAAGAACCTGCGAGCAACGAATAAAGCATCCGGTGCTCAACCAATTGAGCTACCATGTCAGCTATTCCTCCTTCTACTTTGTACATTATACAGTGTGTTTAAGCTAAAAAGCAACAAGCATCAAAAAATTAAAAATGAGTGCTACGCATCTCCCGCTAGCGCTATGTTGTTCTTAGCTGTATGTAGCATGACAGAATATTTTTGACCCGCCAAGCAAGGTAAATAACAAACATTGCCCAACGAAGATTTTTAAATACTGACTCTAGAGAAAAAATTCAATACAAGACTTGTCACATCTTATTCAGTAATAACAAAGTTTTCACGTTACAGTAAGATAACACTGCCGGTTATTTTTCTTCCGGGTTTGTTTAAAGTGAAAGAAATTAAAAAAGATATCACGTGATTGTCGCCTAACACATGGCGCTTCGAGAGCCCTTAGGTGTAAGTTTAACAAATTAGTGAAGGCTTCTCATGCACAAAGTTCACTTGAATAGGCTATCGGTGACTACGATGGACATTAATCAATGGTTGGATGGTACCAATAAAAATGGAGGGGGGAGTTGAAAGAAAAAAAATGAAGACAATAAACTTTAACGAAAAAGCGGCTGCCGCGTGCATTGCGATACGAGAACGGAAGGAGCATTCGGCACCGTCCAGTCGTTTTTTTTTTTCGGGCTAATGATAAACATGTTGGTGAGGAAGAAGGCCCGATAAGAAATCATTGTCGACCCAGCGGCAAGATAGCAACTACCTACCCTTCAAG